TAGGCATAGCCTAAAAATCGGCTAAAACTAAACTAGTCAAAAATTCTACATCGGGAAATCGTTCGTCAGCGTTCCATAAGATATGTCTAGTATTAATTATTATTTAATTCTTTTAGTAAAATAATTTATTTTATATATATTTAATAATGTTAATATTTTATTATTATTAACAAAAAAACATATTTAATATTTTTTATTTATATTATTATATTATGAAATGAAATTTGTTTATTTGATGTTTTTTAATATAAAAAAAATGACATGCTGCTATTGTAATATTATTTTTAGAAAGAAAAATACAGAAGTACAAAAGAAATTATGATAAAACAAAATTTAATAAACGAAACGTATAATCTTTTCAATAGCTTCATTATAGGTGGAACAATACTGAATAGACCAAAAAATACTTTTATAATAAGATTTTTTTCGGAAAATCCTCACTTAGTATTTTCATGCCTAAAATTTTAAGCAAAAAATATTTTTTGAAATTCAAAAAGATATTTCAACATATTTTGATTTGATAAGAATTTTAAATCTTCTTTGTAAATATATTTTTTGAGGAATTCTTTTGTAAATTTTATTATATAAATAAACAATCTTTTATATTTTTTTTATCATTTTTGTAAAATTATCTATTTTTTAAGTATATTAAAAAGGTAATTTTTTCTAAATAATTTTTTAAAAATATTTATATGTGACAATTGTAATATTCTTTATTTTTTAAGATTTTTGGCACAAAAGGGTAAAAACATAATTTATATTGTAAAGGTTAAATGATAAATTCAATGAAGATGTTCCATGGAAAAATGACAATTATTATAATCTGTATTTTTAAACATATTATATTTTTTTGACATAAATGGGCAAAAATATAAATTGCTAACATGTTAAAATAAAATTTGATGTAGATAAACCATAGATAAGTGACAATTGTCATAATTGTTATTTTTAAAGTTTTTTGAATTTTATTGACGCTTAATGGATAAAAATATAGATTTTAAATATGTTAAATTAAAAATTTAGTTACCATAGATAAGTGACAATTATCATAATCTTTATTTTTAAAGTTTTTTGACGCAAATGGGTAAAAATATAGATTGTAAACCTGTTAAATTAAAATTTCATGAAGATGTAGCATAGAAAAGTGTCAATTGTCATAATCGTTATTTTTAAAGTTATTTGACGTAAATGGGTTAAAATATATATTGTTAACATGTTAAATTAAAATTTCCTGAAAAAGGTTAAATTCTAAACTTTTTAGATATGGATTCACAATCTTAAATCTTTAATTAATCAATTTTAATTCTACATCTATTAAAATGTATAACCCTGCATTCACAGTTAGCAAAAATTTTTGTATACTCACAGCGAAATCGTCTGAGTGTGAATTCAGGGTAAGATTTTTATGAAACGAACTTAAAAACCACATGAATATTATTTATCAATGATATGATACAATTAACATCCTATAATTTTTGTTGATTTTGAATTTTATAAACATATGGTAAAAATAGATTACAATCTATATTTAACCCATTTGCGTTAAAAAATTCAAAAAACTTTAAAAATAACGATTATGACAATTGCCACTTTTCTAAGCTATATTTTCATGAAATTTTAATTTAACATGTTTACAATCTATATTTTTACCCATTTGCATCAAAAAAATTTTAAAAATACCTATTATGATAATTTCCACATATCTATGATACATCTTCATTAAATTTTTAATTTAACATGTTTAACAAACTATATTTTTGACCATTTGCGTCAAAAAAATTCAAAAAACTTTAAAAATAACAATTATGACAATTGTAACTTTTATATGATCCATCTTAATTGAAATTTTAATTTACAAGTTAAAAATACATATTTTTGCCCATTAGCATCAAAAAAAATTTAATGTTTAAAAATGCCGATTATGATAATTGTCATTTTTCCAAGGAACATCTTCATTGAATTTATAATTCAACATCTTTACAATATTTATTCATAATCATTAAATTACAGAGGATTAAAAAATATATATTAAAATGGATATATTAAAAATTAAATATAAAAAAAATACTATATATATATATAATATATATATAATCTATGAAGACATTAAAAAGGACTATAAAAAAATATATATATATTTAAAAAAAGGGGGGTATATATCATCCAAGAGAAGAGTGAATACTTAAAAAATTAGACCGGCAAATTTCCAGAGAAATCTGCTGGCGAAGGTAAAATCCTTCATTGGGGTCCCCTGAGATCTGTCTCATTTTTTTCCTATGATTTTAATGAAATTGAGGACCTCGTTTCCAAACATGCCTAGGGTATTGGTAACGATAGGAATGAACATAGTGTTGGTGAGGCCAGGGCATTTATTTTTTTTAAGGATTTCTGCCTTTTCGATAGCAGAAAATGAGAGGTTAGACTTGGCTGCAAAATCAACGCAAGTGTAATCCCATGTTAGCGGAAGACCATTAGACCAGGGTATGAGAGAAATACCACCCGGGCGTATGGCGTATTCGTTTGAAAGACCCACTGGTTCGAGGGTAGATGGGATATTAACTTTTTTGAGGGCGGCTAGTAAAATGTTACTGGTAGATTTATGACGAGGTTGTCGTCCACGGGAGAACTTGCAGTGCAAGGGATGATAAGCCTTCGATTCAATGGGCTAACCACAGTCGATGCAGATGGAGGGAACTACGACATTACAGCCGAGGCGGATGGCTATAGATATACGTAGCTGTTCGCCAGTCATGAAGAGGCCAAGATTGGCGCTGGGGATGGCTTCCAACCATTCGTAGCCAGAGTTTGCATTTAGTACCAAATTATTGGGATTTTCCTCAAAGGGCCTGTTCAAAATAAGATATTCAACGGAACGGGCGATCAGAGGAGCATCTCAGTCTTTTTGGGTACTGGAAGCGAGACGGCTAAGGGTGGGAGAGCAGTTGTTGTCTCAAAAGGTGAGGGCCTGTGAGAGGTCAAAAAAAACATCTTTACAATAAATTATATTTGTACCCTTGTGCAAATTCCAAAAATTTTAAAAAATAACGATATGACAATTGTCACATTAAAATATTATCCTTAAAAATATCATATAAAAGTTTAATATAAATATTCAAAATAAAATTAAGAAAAAATCACCTCCTTTAATATACTTAAAAATATAGATAATTTTACATAAATGATAAAAAAAAATTATAAAATATTTCACCTAAAAGATTGTTTATTTATAATAAAATTCACAAAAGAATTCCTCAAAAAAGATTTATTTACAAAGAAGATTTAAAATTCTAATCAAATCAAAATATGTTCAAAAATCTTAATTCAAAAAATATTTTTTGCTTAAAATTTTGAGCATGAAAATCACTAATGAATTGTAACAAAAATAATATTATAATAACATTCATTTTTTTATTAAAAAAACATCTAATAAATAAATCTATTTTCATTTCATCTATTCTATAATAATATATATAAAAGTCACACTTTCACAATTTCTAATATATATTTAAAAATCGTTATTTGAAAAGTGTCTGTAGCCCAATTGGCAAGAGCGTCTCTTACAAATCTGATTGACTTAGGTTCGAATCCCAGCAAAGATTTTTTTTTCTTAATCTGGCAAAATAAATTCTTTTCTAAATTTGGGAAAATTAATCAAATAGAAGATACGATTCAAAGTTCATAGCTACTTTAAAATTCAAACTATTAAATAGGTATTCTTTTTTTAAAAATTTTTAATATTCTTTTAAAAAATATTCGTCCAATAAAAATCACCATCTAATCATATCAAACATTCATTCATCTTCCATTACCATAAAACCATTACCATCTTATACATCATCATATATATAGATACTAGAACTAACTGGTATATTATAGATTTTTTTACACAATCTTATATAAATATTACACTACAATTTTACATAATTAATACATATGTATATATTAAACAAGTTTTTTAAAGGATATCTCATAGGCAATGGAAGTTAAATTTTTTACAGTAAATTTTTATAGTCTTTTTATTTTTCATAATATAAACTGGTTACAAGTCTGTCCTTATAAAAAAAACAAAGATCTAAATAAATTTCTTATTTTGATTATATTTTTTAATGCTATGATTTTTTTTCTGATTTCATGGAAAATTTAAAAATTGTTACCATAAAAGGTCCTGTTTTATTGCCTTCTTCTACAATTTGCATAATTAATACATATATATTAAAAATTTTTTAAGGATATCTCATAGGCAATTGAAGTTAAATTTTCAACAGTACATTTTTATCTTTTTTTATTATTGTTTCCATGTAAAATATCTTAATTATTGGATGATCATAAGATAGAAAAATTTCTGATTCATCAATCAATAAAGGTAAAATTTATTATTTATTCATCATTGAAAAGAAGAAAATTCTGATTCCCTGTCATTCTTGACGGGCTATCAACTTGTAATATAATAATTTAAATAAAAACTATTATATCATATAAATATGTTTATTTGTTGATAATAATAAAATATTAACATTAAAAATAAATAAATAATTAATGCTAAGCATATCTTACGGAACACTGACGGAAGATTAGCAGATGCAGAATTTTTCATTAATTACGTTTTCCCCGATTTCATATCTAACCCTAATTAGGCTTAGCCAATTTTTAAACTAAGACTAATTAGGCTTAGCCCATTTTTTTCACCTAAAATCTTGGCTAAGCCGTTTTGTAGTCGGCTAAAATTAGCCGATTACGCAACACTAGAACCAACCCCTGAAATAAATTTGGAGGCATATGGCTCCTACCTCCCTGCTATGTAGACAATGCAGGGCTTATAAATGATTTTTTATTTTACCTTAGAATTTCATAAATAATATACAGTTAAAATCTTTATTGACAATTTATTTTATTGCCATAAAATTTTATCTAAAATTAAAAAATGCTAAATTGCACGGAACATATTACAAAATATATACTGATTTGATAAATATGGAAGGATGAGATTAGTTGGTGCACAATTATATTTGAATTATTTTTTAGTATTTGAAAAAGAACTGGACCTATTCTGTTCTGCCGTTTTCATAGTTGCAAGCTGGGATGATATTAAAATCTTGATCAAACCTTGTCCTACATTTAGACGATGCAACATTCATTTTATCAATCGTATTGTATTTGTTATAGGTATTGTGGTTGTCTAGCGAGTTTTTCCTACGAATAGTAAAATCCCGTTTCCAATCTGTGACCAAACCATTATTGATCCTATAAAATATTTGGAGTACAAATGGAGGTTTAAATATTTTTTTGATTTTAGATATGTTCGTCGTGGCAAGTTCTTCGTCTAATTTGCATAGATTTTTGTTGCGATGATTACATTTATAATCCAATAAATTTGAATCGCTGGAACTATAATAGGAAGTTCTAAGGTGAAGGTTTTTGGTCATTTTTTTCCGGGGCAGATCAAGGTTTTTCGTAGAAATATCGGAGATATTGACAAAATTATTAAAATAGTTTTTGAGGTTGGATGCTACCTTGGATTTGTTATAACTACTATCCTTATCACACATTAAGTTTGAGCTTACGAATTTCTCATCATACAATTTTTTGATTCTATCATAATATTCATCGGGGTCGTAATCCTTCTTCATAGTTGAATGAAAATTGTAGGGCATAAAAGGCCTTAAGGGTAGTTTTTCCCAATATTGACAACAGTCATAACATTTGCAAGCCCGGGAACATTTTTCATCTCCTTCTTTGTGTTTAAGAAAATTATTTAAATTTATAAAATCATTTTCGTCGGTCGTGGAAATGATATTTTTCTTTACTATGTTTTTCGGATTAGATTTTACAATGTCATCTTCACTCTTTAAATTACCCATTTCTACGTAATCATTAAAATTATCATTACATTCTTTTTCGTACCGATAAATATTCTTTAAATAAATATCATGGCCATTATTCATTTCGACATACACAGACTCACTAAATTTTCCGCTTAAACTTGGAGGATTTGAATATAAGCCATCCTCTTTAGAGTTAAAAATATTTTTAAGCTTCGATTTTTTTTTTGCACCGTCATTCTTTATCCTTTGGTAATACAAGTCCAAGCCTGAATCAGCCCCATTTTGGAAATAGGAATCATTTAAATTATCATTCAAATTTGATATAGAATTGTTAATTTTATTGGTTTGCAATTTACTTGGTACTTCATAAAAGTAATTTGAATGTTCAAAATCGAAACTATCATAAGTTATTGAAGGGCACCCTTCAGGACTCGGTCGAACTATATTTAGCATTGAATTTTGATGGAATTTCTTGTCGATCATAAAAGAATTCGAATAACCATTTCTCTTAATATTTATAGGCTCGGTTCCTATCTTAATAATTAAAATGAAAAGTATGTCATTTGCATATTATGTTCGCTGAAACCCCAAGACTTTATTTTGGTTTTATCTGCCTTTCATTTAACCTCCACTTACATGGTATTCAAAAATAACGTAAATTACTCAAAAAAATCTTATTTATTGGCAAAGATGGAAATCAACAAAATATTAGAATTGTGAAACCTGCTCCTTAAGACTTAAGGAATAATGAGATAGATTACCATTTAATTGTTCACTAATTATAGATTTTTCATAATTTGAATCTTTAAAGTGATAAGGGCCGGTTTTTGAATTATCATAAGCTCTATAGGGCTTGTTTTCAAGATTCAAATTCTTAGGGAAATTAAACCTATCACCATTGTGGAGGTAATTACGTTTTAACTTTGGCAAAGTTGAGTATTCGCGACATGACTTAAGCGGTAGAGAATTTTTCCGAGATTGGTTAATGCGACTGTAAACATGGCATTGGTTCAACCTTAGTTTTTCGTCTATATCAAAAATTGGCATAGGAGGAGGTAAATCAGTATTGTAGTTTAAGTCATAATCAACCTTGTTATTATTGATTGAATTTATATTTTGTCTACTAGAAAAATGATTGATAAAAGGTCTTTGAAGGAATGTTGAATCGATAGTCTCATAAAGTTTTATCAGGTCTAAAAATAGAGATTTATGGATATTTTGTTTAAAATTAGTAAATATGTAACATTTCTTTTATATTTTAAATATTAAATTTAATAACTAATTAATATACATTTGAAGAATATTATATATAAAAAATAAACTTATAAAAATAATTATTTATACATGACTCACAAACAACCTAGAAAATGTATTTTATATAATTATGATATAAAAGTAGGATATTAAATTTGAAAGCTATTTTTTACAACTGGGGTGTAGTTGAGGGCTCATTTTTTTTTAAAAAAAATTAAAAACACTCCAAACTTTTTATAAGGGCTGGGCCTCCCTGTAACCTTTAAAAAAACCACCGAATACCTTATTATAAGGGAAGCCCTTTACACTTTCTAGGTTTATCTCTTTGGCATTTATTGGAACAACATACAATGGTATATTTAAAGAAGGGAAAAAAATGGCTCAAGTCTCCTCAGAATTTAGAGCACCTCAAATTTTGAAAAATTGTGAAATAATATTTTATAATTTTTTCGAGATAAAATTTCATTTTTTAAATAGCTCTTTAGGGGAAATAATAGCATGATTATATACCATCTTAAAAAATAGTAATATGATATTAATTAAATCGCCATTTTCAATAATAATAATTCATCATTTTATCCTAACCCTAACCATTTTTAAAGAAAATATTTATTATGCCAAACGATTATAATCTAGGCCCTCATAATAATACAGATATTTATTTATTAACAACTAAATGGTGTTCTTGAACCTTTTTCGCTGAAAAGAACATTTTTCTTCAATTTAAACTCGTTGGCTTCTTTAAACGCAATCTCAATTTTTTTAACATCTTCGACAGAATTCAATATATAAATACCCGCTAAAATATTTTTTTAAATATATTTTTTTATTTAAAATTGTAGAATTTTTTTTAAAAAAACAATGTCATAAAGCCCAACTTAAAAATACGAATATAGATGGAATTCTGCAAATCAGCCCGAAACTTGGCCCTAAAAATTCGAAATTATTTTTAAAAAATAAAAAATTTGGCGAGCTCGAAAAATATAAAAGAAATTCTGAAACTCTTGTTTTATGGAAATAAAATGATAATTATAATTTATTTGTGATAAGGACAAAGCAAAGTGTGATTTTCTTCTTTACTTAACTTCATAAAATTATGCTTTAATCTATGTTTTTTTAAATTAAATATTTCGAGCTGGGCAGAAAATGGAATTTTCAGGGCTCTAGACAACGTTATAAAAGATTTATCATTTATCTGTGTCAAATCTTAATTAATGATATTTTAAAAAATATATACAAAATAAAACATCAATAAAGTGTTCTAATCATCATTTCATGGTGACCACTTTAGATTAATTCATTCCTGCCAAAATCATATTTTAAATTCTTATCGTTTTATAAATATGCTCCTATTGAGTAAGATGGGAGTTTTATTGTATTTCCAAGTTATAAAAATAAAGTATGATTTATTTACATTTGTTTCGTTTTTCGTTAGTGTGCGAGGTCTCAAAGCAAAATTTATTGGCTAATTGACCAAACCTTTTGATATCGACGATATTCCATTGACTCATGATATTTGGTAAGGGATAATTTGCCACCAAGCAAAATTGCCCATTAAATAAATGCAGTTTAGCGGGGCCTATTTTTACCTTACTTCTCGCGGGCGAGTGTAATATGTTGATTTCAAAGATTCTTTCTTAAAATAATTTAAATGAATAGCGGTATAAGTATAAATTGATCTTTAGCATGGAGCATAAGAAATGACTTAAAGACCTAAATTTCTAAGAATCTGGTAAATTATCAGATGACATAAAAATATTGAAAATTATATATGAAAATGATTATATTTATAGAGCTTTAAAAATAACTATACTAGTTTTTCCTCCAATCAAAGATATTTAGCAAACTGTTTTAAACTGGGAAAATACACCTAATGTTCAAGCTTGACAGCTATAATTATAAAAACAAAAACTTAGGCACAATTTTATTTCTTTACATAAATAATTTATTATTGTATAAATACCTGGAGGTATTTGACGAGACATGTCACTTACCCAGAAATCAATCGAGTCTAGGCAGGGAAAAGAGATATATAAATACGAAATATCAAAATTAGCCTTTTTGATTAACAAGCATACTATCTTGGTTTTACCATGGAATGAAAAACATGATTCTAATATGAATTCAATAAATATAAAAAAAATTATAATATTTTAATAACAGGATTTTTTTTCTTAATCATTTAGTAGGCCTTTTAATATAAAAAGCAAAATGTAAAATAAATCTAGGAACTAGTATCAGAACCGGGAAAAATCGAGGAACCAGGTCTCTCTTAAAATTTATAGGAAAAACGAAATCCTATACACTGTTAATTTTTATGTATATTGTTCAAAATACCATTATCAGAACTTTCGGAATCAAGGACTTCTACCACAGTGAGGGGGGGGGGGTATGATGCACTTTCTACATTGAAATTGAAGGATGTAGGAAGTAGTTTGGATTGGCTTTAGGGGAGGGATGTTAAGCTCTTACTTGGAAGTAGGTGAATCGAAATCTCTTTAAAATATTTTAGGAGAATATCTTTAGAAAAAAAACACAATATTCAGACATTTTTAGAAGATAAGCTGGTATGTCATGGGAAATACCTCGAATAATGCTACTTCCTTGATGACCGAGTTTAATGTTTTAGTAAAGGAATGTTCAGAAAAATACTTTCTATTTATTTCTGTTTATCAATTTACTATAAATTTCCTAGCCGAGTAGCTGACAGATCTTTAATATGAAAGTTTTTTAAAATAGGGTTTTGTTGTTACATAAAAATGTTTTTTTAAATTTATAAGTTATTTAATAAAAGGCTTTTTGCCCGAAAGAAAATATATTAGATTTAGGCCATTTCAATTTATATAATATTAAAATCTATTGGCGTATACAAGATTTTTGTATGTGTGTGTGAAGAAGGGGGGTGGGGGGGCTAGAAAGTTTTTCTCACCATAATTTTTATGGGCCGTAAAATAATAGATTTTAAAAAAATTATCAGAGACCTGCAGGCCCAACCCGAAAAGTAGTATTATTTAGGGCTGGGTCTAAAAAAATTATAAACTCGAGCAGGGCCGATCAAAAATAAATTTAAATTACATCAAATAATCAATTGGAAAATTTTATATAAAGCGTTTAATATTCATTCATTACTCATACTATCAATTTCCCTTTGAAACAATTAGTAAAATACCTCAAAAATTATTCCACATAAAGTAATTTTAAAAATTTGGGCCGAGCCAAATCCTGTTCGGGCAAAAAAACATCCCATGTCAGTGTAAGGTTATGAGGTGAATACACCACATATAGGGTCGGGCAGATATTTTTGAAAAATATAGTGAACTGGACCAACAATTTTGCAAGATATTTGTAATTTTTTTAAAATATAATTAAAAATTGTAATAAATGGTTGATTAGTTCATCAAATTGTTTCTTCTTTAATGTAATGGTGAGATTAGAGGTCTGTCTGCCCATTGTTTAAAAAAATTCTAATTTTTTTTTAAAATTCACCTACCCCGACTATTTACCTAAAATATTTGTTTAATTCGCCCTAGCCCAATGTTTAAAAAATTATTTTAATAAGGCTTAGATTTTTATTTATAAACGTATAAAATATGCAATAAACAGTAGCGTCACCGTAGGGGTGGGGGCAGGGGCTCTAGCTCCATGAAAATATAAAAAAATTATTTAGAAACCAAAAAAAGGTAATTTTAAATTTTTTTATGAAATAAAAAAATGATTTTTAATAAATAAGTCTGTTCTGCTCATTTCGTACGAAAAATACTCACCCGTCCATTGTTTTAAAAATATTTTTTAATCTGTGTGCCTAATGTTAAAATGGGCTTTGGGTTTAAAATTATTAAATTTAAATTTAAAACAGTTGCTAATTTAAAGAAATATTGCTTTTTTTTATTCTAATAATAAATTTCAGTTTTGTAAACAAAATGATTGCCTAAATATATTATTTAAATATTGTTTATTTTCATTAAATAAAAAATAATTAAATTTTTGGATATGTCGGCTGGAAAATTTTTTTGAAACTTATGATGGGCTTGGGAATTTTTTTTAACATTAGATATGGGCCGGGCTTGGGCCTAAAAAATTTTTTAACTGCGGGCATGGGCTGGGCTTGGTCAAAAAATTAAGGCCCATGAAGGTCTCTGCCAGTAAGCTTGTGATTTGTATTGAATTAATAAAATATGTTTTTTAAATGCATCATTTGAACATATGCAATAACAATTAGTAGAAACCTAGTCGTTGGATTCCTAGAATATTTTCTGTTGATATGTGTAATAGGTCCGATTTCTTAATAGTTGATTTTTTGATATTGAGGCTCTTACTTAATTTTTGCTTGGAAGTCGCTATTCGCGTAAATTTGACAATTTCATGATCTATAAAGGATTAAATTTAGGTAATGATACGAGAAAAATGAATTTTAATACAATTTAAAGGAAAATCGAACTCCAACCAAGGTGGTTTTATTTTTTATGTAATCATCTTCGAAATTATGGATAACAATAAGTAAAACTATCATTTAGATGGGAACAGCTGGGACAGATTCTATATAACTACAGAAATTTGATTTGAATAAAAAGAAAATCCTATTATTTCAATTTCATATTATATTATTATATAATATAAATATTATTCATTTTATACAAAATATCCACCTTGCTAAACCGAGTTTTAAACCGGAAGTTATCACTTTATCTATAATTTACTTTAAAAAAAGATGTAACATTAACTCTATATTCGATTTTCGATAAATTTATATTTCATTAATTTTTTTATAAATTTACAATGTTTTTATAAATTTAAATATCCAAATTAATTAATTTTTTTTTATATTAATACCTATAAATTCTATCGTGGAAATTGAAAAATGTGAAAATAAAATATTTAAAAAAAAAATTAGAATAATAAATAATAATAAATTTGGTTACATTTTTCATTATTTTTCCTATTTTGAATAGTCTTGCTTGGTCTAGTAATTATTTACTATAATTTTGATAATTTATATATTAGCGCTTTTATTTGTTTTGTTTTCTCCTTTCTCTCCTCTTAAAAATCAACAATGTCTTTATTTATAATTATACTATTCAAAAATATTTAAAATATTATAACTTAACAGATTAAAAATATTTTATTTTGGTAGTAAGTTTTTTTATTCATTTTTAACACGTGTTATATCACATTCATTCGCATGTTGTGTAATATAGTAATAAAAATAATTGGGCTTGGAATTTAAGTTTGGCTTAGGATGGGGTTATGAGCTTGAATATTGTTTGCAGTCTATGACAAACTTCTAATTTAGTTTTAGCTAACCTTAATGTTTGTTCCGGATTCTGGAGTATTCTAATAAAACTTTAACGGGTCAAGCGCCCTTATCTTCAAAAAATAAATATTACCTCATAAATGTGTTGCGCATGGTATAACATATTTAAATTTTTTCTAAAATTCAAATGGTAATTTCTCCGCCAGGGGTTGCCTGCCACTATGATACCCAATCCATATTATGGGATTAGCTTGTTCCCCAGTGGCGTTGCCATCATCGTTCAAATATATATAAACTGCCACATATAGGATGGTTCATGAAGTCTTGCTTGGATCTTCCATGTCGCCATAAGAAATAGGTTTTTTGTTTAAAGGGTAGTGCCGTTTCATAAAGAATTCCCAATAATAAAATGTTATTAAGTTGTAAATACAACAACAATTACATTAAAGCAGGCGCGTAGCCAACGGGGGGAAACCCCGAAGAGAAAACAAGCACCCTCTCCCCTATAGTAAAATAATGGAGAAAATTATTAATTGTAAACTATTCTAGGCTATGAACTCCGACCCTGAACCCTATGTTCTTGTTGAACCAGAATCAGAACCCTTTTTAAAAGTTCAGGGCTGTGTTCAAGGTATCAAAAAAATATTTTAAAAATTTCTTAAAATTATAATTTTTTTGTTTATAAGAAAATTTATTATTAAAAAGCGAATTTTTAGGCTTAGAATTCGGAATGCTGGCCCTTTTAAGAGCTTCAGAGATTAAATTATTAATGTTCTCGTAGAAGGAGGCCTTTAGAATATTTACAATGCAAAGGATAGTAGCCTTTGGAATAGGATGATAAAGAATATTAATACATTTAGAAGGAAGCGATATATCGCAGCCAAGATGAAGCGAAATAGCTATAAGTTCATCATTAGTGATAAGAAGACCGAGATTGTTGTTTGGGATAGTTGACAGCCATTCATAGCCTGATTTAGAATTCAGAATAGCTTGGCTGGTACATTGTTCTAATGAATAACTCGATAAGAGATAATCAACGGAGTGAGACTTTAGGGGAATATCCCATGCTTTCTGAAGGGTAGATGTGCGTCTGCTAATGCCAGGTTGAAAAATAAGTATTCCTCAGCATTTTTCAAAATTTTCAGTTTTTTGCATCCATTTTAATACGTTGCTATTTTGTTTTTATGCAATTTTAAAATAAAATATTGGGATATAAAATAAAATCAAGCCAATATTTCAAGATATTCAATTTTTAAATTTAATTGAAATATAAGCAATTATGTAAATAAAAAATGTAAAGTTTGCTTAGTTTTGTGATGTTATTTTGTTTGATGAGTACTTCTTGGATTAGTATTAATGAAAAATAAAATGATTGTAAAATAAAGGATTTTTAAATTTTTTGCTAGTAAATTATGTGTATATAGAGTAGAATAAAAAATAATATTAATATTGAGTCAATATTTCTTCATGCTCACCAAACCCTGAACCATTTTTTAAAATAACTCTAAACACGAACTCGGGCCCTGTTTTTTTTTTGTTGAAGGGTTCACATCTTCGATTTTTAGATTTTTGCAAAAAGTTAAAATTAATATTTCTTTTCTTACGAAAATTTAAAGTAAATTTTTTTACAATATTTTAAACCTTAAACATTGATTAGACAAACCGTGGACTCAATTGATATTGCTTTAAAATATCCGTTTTATTTCATTTTGGATATATTTTTGACTCAAATCAATGAATTATGATTCATCAAATGACTCTATTCAATTTATAAATATTATGACCTATAAATCAATTAAATATTTAGTTATTACTCAGAGGATATAAATGTATCTGAAGGCCAATATATTTCAGAATTTAAATCTAAACATGAAAAATTAATTTTAGTAGTTACCAAGAAATATCATGGAAGCATCGAATATTTTAAAATACATTTTGGAGTTTTTTTTCCAAATATGTTAGAATAACTTTATATTTTAGCAACAATCAATTAGTATAAGCATAAATTAGAGGACCTTATCTTCTTTACGAGGAATAAAGACCTATCTCGAAGTACGCAGAAACTCGGTTGAATAATCTCGATAATATTACCATGGCTGTGCATCTGAAAACATCGGTAATATATCCGAGGATATTATAAATATTTAAAATTTAATTCTGAAAGAATTAAAAGAATCTCGTGGGAACAACCTTCCAGTTGGAATGAGGGCTAATACAAGTAAAGTACAGCTTAATTGTAAAAATGCGGTGGTACCGAGAGAGATAACTTACAGTTTAAAATTAATTTTGAAAGAAATTATAAAACAAATACCTGTGTCTATAATTGAGGAACCCATAGTAGTTAAAAAAAATCAATAATTCAAGTGAAATTTAACAAGTGGAAAATGATAAAAGATTAAATTTTTTTTACGAGAAATAAAGGAAATTAAAGGAATTTAAAAAATATTTCTAGTGAAATGTATATAATAAAAAATAAAGGTAATAATGTTAGTGATAACTGTACTATTTGTTGCAGAAAAGGTCATACTAAAAATGTTTGTTTTTCTAGGGATCGAAAAATTAATGAAAATTTTACTGCACAAAGAAGTGATAAAGATAATACGATTTGTCATCGATGCGCTTCTTAGGACATATAAAAAGAAATTGCTTCGGAAGTAAATTTAAAAATGGTTTTCCGCAGAGGCCACCAGTATTGATAAACCGATGGTTCGAAATATAAAAAATCCTATTATCTTGAATCTAAGTGAAATAGATATGTATAATATAGATAGTGCCCGTGTGCTTGAGATGTGAACAAATGGGTCATCTCGTTGAATTGTGCTCAATCCATGAAGGGATTGCAGTGACTATAGGATTTGCGAGAAAATCATATAAAGGTAGAGAGACCATATATTTATAATAATAAATTTTTTAATACATATAGTGATGTAAAAAATCCTTTGGATATATTTAATAAAAAAGACAATTGTCATGGAAATGATAGTTGTAAATCAAATTTTAACTTGAATAAAAAGATGCAGGGTTGAAAATTCTTATTGTCATTTTGATGAGATAAAAAATTTTAAATTGACCAATAATCTGAAAAAAGGATTATAGTAGGAAAAAAGGTGGGAATCCATTGAAGATTTATAATAAAAAGATTAGTGATATTCAGAGGCCTCAAAATTTAGGGAAGAATTAGGCCATGAATATTAATTATAATGAAAGTGAAAATTCAAATATAATAAATACAATTCAGCTCTGATAAGAATAAATAAAATTCTAATGATTGTTAAAGAGGATGGACAGTGTTCATGCCCACGTTTTAATGTGAAAATTGATATAAAAAAAATTGAAATGTTATTTGATACCGGTGCAAGCATATCGATAATGTATTGGGGAAATTGTTATAAATATTGGCCTGAGGGCACACTCGAACAAGAACCTAGTTGTGTGAGACAATTTGATAGGTCTGAAATTGGGGTTTGGGTAAAACCAAATTGGGAGTGGTTCCAATGATAGAACATTTATTCTTGATTTATGGGTGGTAGAAAAAAAATGTTGAACTTGTGGTGTAGGATTGGATTGCCAAATTGGGATCTCCTAATAATTTTTAAGATATTTTTATAATAAATAGTGATTTAGCAGTAGATAATGCTGAACGAAAAATAATTGAGGATAGCATCGGAAGTAAAATTCTTGAAATAGACATGTATTTATGAGCGTGAATCCCCTCATTAATTCTGATATTTGCGAAACTTCCGACGAATTAATAGTTGAGCTGTGTTGCTCTAAAAATAATATTGAAATTAATGAAAATCAAATATTTAATTGTAAAGTTAATTAATCAAATAAAGTTCGTGAAGCCATATCTATTTTAATGAGGTATAATATTTGAAGGCACTATGGAATGTCTCATTGATTATCAAGTGGATGTGAAATTGAAAGAGGATGTTCACCCATTTTTTTAGCATGCAGACGATTTTCTTTCGGATGGAAGAAGGAAATTGATAAAGAGTTAGACCGTTGGGTCAAAAATGGTATTATTATGCCGGTGGAATATAGTGAATGGGCTACACCATTGG